TGCCTAATATGTTGATGCAACACCCTGTACATCAATATACAATACATTAAAATCAATTTAACATTTTATACATATCTATAGCGTTTAGAAATTTTGCACATAAGTTAGCTTAGATAACAACATTGGTATAGAGAATGAAGTGTCGTCATTTGTTTAAGGACACGATATACATACATCCCATCCTTCCCGCCTACCTTTCATTTCATCCTTTTTAAAAATAAAGATAGAATATGTGTCATTAGTGATTAGTAGATACAATTTTTCTTCAAACTTTTTGTATTTGCTTCAAACGATTAGCTCGTTTTAATGTTCGCTAAACCATTATTGCAGCAGACGAAAATAATTCACGACTAATTATTAGGATATTTAGCTTAACTCGTCATTTTCTAATTATGTAATTGCTACATGCCGTTAATAGGAACCGTAGTGGATTATACTCGATGAAATCCGATAAAAAGTTTCTCGGTGCAAACAAAGTGACGCTAAGCTTCATGTAAGTACTTACGTAACGTGGAAACGGCGCGAAGGAAATTGCTCTGTTACATTTCACGCGGTTTTAACGGTATCGCGAGAGGATGCAAGGATACACACGTTCTTCCTCTCGTTCGCGCTCGTTCGCGCTCGTTCGCGCTCGTTCGCTCTCTCTTTTTTTTGTAATTTCTGAGCGCCCTTCCCTCATCAAACTGTCCTTAAGTAATTTCTGCCACGATTTTCGAAGTAACGCAACGCGGCGAAGAATCGGCAACGGTTTATTTTATCGACGGCCAGATTCTGCGTGCCATTCGTCCTCCAGAGCAGCTTCCCAAGATATGTCGTCTATTTATTAATTTAATGCATTTCAGAGATTCTGCACGCGAGATTCTGTGTTTCCGCGACGAATGCGTGGAATGTAGATCGCTTAAAGCGGTGTGCTCCACTCGCTTCAGTTTCTGCATACATCGTGACGTCAGAAGCGAGGGAATCTTTTTTTCCCCGCAAAAATCGAGCATACAGTAAAGTTAAGATAATATTCCCAAAATAAACAATCTTACGGCACGTTCAGAATTACTTTAAATACGCTCGACCGACGGAATTACGAGCATTTGAACTGAAGTTTAATAACTACTTACCTTCTTTTAGATGTATCGATTACTACTAGAATCTCTTCTTATCCTGCTCCCAATCTCGAGCGAGCTATCCTACAATAGTTTCTGGGTCGAATTAACGAATGGGCAAGGGTTTATTGGCACGGAACGATGGCATTTGGGACAGCATATATAAGATAAATTTGACATAGCGAGTCTTTCCTATAATTACGCGAAGAAGCGAGAACGATCGTCTACTTGCAGACAACTTTGTCTACTTGCCACGTTGAAGTCTGCTCTGGAAGTCGACACTTGTAATTGGAAATGGCACGCCAAGCGGCCATCGTGTGAAGCCCGTTACGAGGAAGCCGTCGGAAACCGGTCCCAGGAAGTCGGGACGAGACGTCGATCATGTGCGATCGCGACGAATGCGAGAGTCTCGCGGACCGAATTCCGGAATAGTCGAATTGAATCCTCGATTGCGCGCGTAGGATGTCGTTCCCCTCCCCCCCCCCTCCCCCATTCCCCCGTCCCCCTTCCCACGTAGAACCGAACGTTCTCTCTCAGCGAGGCTGCCCCTGAGCCAAGAGTTCTTGCTCGCAATCGGAGATCCTCGAGCGTGACGCGCGAGGAAGCGGACAGAGAGTTTTTTTTTTTTTTCAGACATATATAGATATATACTTCTCGGTGTCGTCGTAAACCCCGCTCCTCTTAAGCACACCCCGAGTGATTGTCTCACGCTCGCGGACCCCTTCCCCCCCCCCTCATTTCTAAACGATGGATCTCTTCGTCGTTGTTACAGATGGGCAAGCTGGGGAGCAATCCTTTGGCTGGATTGGCGGCTTTAGGCCTCGGAGGGCTCGCCACACCGGCAAACACGGGTGGTCTTAACCCGGCAGGTAAATGAATACACGTCATTGAGAAATTGTGGATTAACCGACAATGCTTCTCACTGACTCGCGAGAAAGTTAAAATTGAAACGTTTATTTTATCTTTTTTTAATTATGTTTATTGTGAGTCATGTGGGTCGATACGGGCATTTCGACTATTTACGATTTACCTAGGAAAGCATATTTACTCGAAGTAATTTTCTCGTCTACTTTGTTATCAGTGTGTTTTCTTTGTAATCAATAATATCTATGAAATTTCATATTTGATACTGTCAATTTCAAGACTAAATAGATACTCGATATCTATGGTTACG